TATAACGACTATCGAATTTGGTGAGTTCCGTTAGAGATAATAGAATTACATAACGAAATAGTCAGATCGAGGGTTTGAGTTTGTGGATGTCAGCTTCCGACTTGATGCGGATTACATCAATATTATAGTTATAGTTATAGGGCGTTAAAATCGTATACAGAGCGTCATTCACGCTTTACGTTTACGTCTTCGTTTGTTCGACTGACAGCGAAGCAAGCAAAATTAGACAGTACTGCAATGACATTACAATTTAAATTCAACGTTTTAGCTTTTTCATATTCCTTTACATGTCACTACGTTTAAATAGGTTGACTTGGGATATTTTTTTCATGGTTTTTGTATTAGACCCGTCATCCATTTATTTGTAAGTCAATGGTTACTGCAACTTTATCTTTCCATTTTTTATTTACTGCTTCATTATGTTGCTCATCAGTTATTCTGCACCTTATTACATTATAGTGTCTTTGATCCATCTCCAATTTGGTTGATGTCACAATATACAAGGTATTGTTGGCTTTTTAAAACACAAAATAACACTTTAGCTATATTTGCCAGCCTGGTGGGAAACAACAAGAATAATTTTGAAATAAAATTAGCTCATATAGGCACTCACAGTTAAATCAGTTTGCTGTGGGCGGAAGTTCCATTGCATGGAGGAGGCGACATCCGCATTAAAGCGGATCTTGATTGGGCGATGCTTCACTGCTGACATTTCACTCACGCGGTCATCTGGCTTTGCTTCACCAGTTGTGCCACCATAACTGTAAGCCTGAAAAATTATGTGAGTATTTAATGCATTTGTTTAATGCCAAACAATACCTTTAAACTTAAATTACTTTTAGAAGATAGATTGCAGTGCTTAGTTATTTAACTAAGAATGTTGTGATGCATTAATCATATGGAATGGATTAATACACTTATGGTGCAAAAATGCAACCAAATATGGTGAAACGTCGCTCTTGGCAAATATAACCAAATTGAAAATTATCTTAAAAAGTCCCAATCAAAAGTACCAACATAAAATGGCACGTTGGCGAGTATGGAAATACCGATGTAGTGGAGGTAGAGAAAGAAGTATATTAGAAATATAGCAAAGGAGGTACATAATTAATTTAATAAAATATAAATATATTGCTAAATAGAGCGGTAAAATATCATTTTAAGGTTACATAAAATGATGCACCTGACAAAATATTCTGTACAGCGGGACAGCAGCGTAACTTAGACCAACTGTCAAGACCCCCACAGCGATTACGTAGTTAAGCGTGGACCGGGCACTCTTTGTTGATTGATGCAATTCCCGAACTATACCATTTGTGTACACCTTAGGCGGGCGCAAAATTACCGGCGAAGTGCGAACAACATTGTTTCTATATGAGTTAATGTGACATCTACTAAACCAGAGTAGACGACTCATATCGATTATTTCATTTAAATTGCTAAGAGAATTGAAGAATCAGAATATTTTATAAACAAAATCCATCGTGACCGTCAGTAGAAAGAAAACTTAAAAATGACATTTGACAAACAGCTGTTCAAAATATTAATAATGCGTTCAAAAAAAAAATCGTCAAAATTTTTGTATGCGCCATCTGGGTAAGAGGAATAGAAACCGAATAGATAGATGACGTAGTATTTCCTCTTATTAGTTTGTAGACAGATGCCGCTTTTCGTTTCGGTGGTGTGGTCTTCTGTATAGCTATTTGTCTATGCTCTTTGAGACTTCAGAAACGCGGTATTTTCAAAATATTTCCTCATCATAAAAGAAATAGGCGTGTACAAAAACTTTGTATAGTAGTTAAATAACTTCTTGACAGCAACTTTCATACAATTTATTATTAAATTAATATCACAATTTTTAACTTTCCGCTCTTTTAAGTTTTTATCATCGATTGTATTCTAAATTTAAAATTTTGTGTTTTGTCTTGATGTGGGCGTCGGTGTGTGTTTTCTGGTAGGCTTTGTACGTGCAGTCTAGGAAGGGACATCGGAACATGGGTTCTTTGCCACATTCGTAGGTGACATGTCTTCGATATGTGCTCTTGTGTCGGTATTTTCTCTTGCATTTCTCACACTCGTACATGTTGTCGTACTGCGACCAGTAGTTTTTGGTCTTCATTGGCATTATCGGCAGCATGTTTTGCATCATTGATTTAAAGAAATCCACCTCACCTGCAACAATGACATTGGGCTCTTGAGTTCTGTACTAACTTTTCCTCATCATTGCTAACAAATTTATTTATATTGGTAAGCTGTAAAATTTTATGTATGCCCACAGCTAAATAAGTCAATAGCTTGAGTATGCAGTAGACAGTCATTGAATTTTAAATTCCACTTACAATTCCTTGAACTGTATGAATGAACCGATAAAGTGTTTAACGTGACATTATTACAATGAGAACCACGGGTAGATTCTTTCCAAAAACAGTGTCTCTAATATGAATCCGAGTTGAACCTCCATTGTATTACTTAATTGAATTATAAAGTTTATTCTTATATTTTGAACAGGATAGATATGTATTAAAAGCAAATACTTTATTAAACTGAGAACATTTATTCACAGGCAATCCAATTAGAAAATAAACAAACCAAACACACACCTTTTGAAAATAAAATTACATCAAAACATTAAAAGTAGATTTTGTGCTCGCCTCCTAAAAATACTATTTTATAAAATATCTTTTAGGCACATTGCATATTTTATTATTTTTATATTATGCTAATACTTGACAATTGTGGGTCTGGTAACCATATCAACAGTCATTTGTTCAAAATTGAAAATGTTAAAATAAAAATAATTCAGTCGCTTCACATTTAACGAAACTATTTTTGACACCTCGTGGCAGCGCGTCATCTTTTATTGGTCGATCTTGAATAGAATGCACCCTTCATTTTAAGAGTTAATAGCAAGCAAGTTTTTATTTATTTTATTACTAAATTTTAAACATAAAGCTTTAAAGGAAAAGGAAACTATTTTTCCGGATTTAAATCGCGTATATTTATTTTTTCAAACAAACCGACGTTTCGGGCCCTTTACAGCAGGCCCCATGGTCACGGTTGACCACAGGCCGTCAACCGATTTAAATCCGAAAAAATAGTTTCATTTCCTATGTGTAACAATCGCGAAAACCTACCCTAACACGATACATAAAGCTTTATGTTAAAAATCCTTCTAATGTACCAAGTCGACTCGTGTTAATAAAGGACCGTCATGATCACAGGCGGTCGCTCGCTCGCTTTCACACGAGTTGTAAGCCTCGTAGACTTAATTCTAAAATTGTCAAATTGCAAGACGAATTAATCAATGTACTAGAAAACGTAAATATTCATTTCTTGTCACCAAATTTTCACAGAAAAAGAATAAATACTTTCGTATAGATCATAGGTTCCCAAACTTGTTAGCTCACGGCCCACTTAGGCAAGATAAAACCTACCACCACATAAAATAATTGAAAACACGTACTTTTTATATTAACTTATCACAAAAAATCGCTAGGAAAAATAGTTATGTATATATGTAGTATAGTATAGCTCATAAAGATAATTCAGGTTTTTTTCATGCGGTAGCACTCCTTGGAGAGCACCAACGCCCCTCAATTGCTTTCGAGGCCCCTAGGTTGGGTAGGGATACTTTGGGAAACTATGGTCTAGATAGTCCATAACCGGAAATGCACCTGAGCAAGGTCTGGATTTCTGTGGATTGTATATTTACTTGATTGCTCAACAAATGACGGTTGATGTCGATAATGTAGAAACAAAAGAAATGCGTTATTGGCAAATTAATTACCGTTCTTAAAATACTGGCACTATTTTAAATCACTTTAAGTCTTGTTTTTACTAATACATATTGCACATCTCTGCTTTTTGTTCAAAAATTTATATCGGATTAAAAATACACGAAAATAACAGTCCAAAAACATTTAAAACTAAACAATTTATGTTATTTAAATTTGCTTTGCGAATACTTTTTCAGAACTCTTAATCTTATAGTCAATCTAGGATTAATATTCTGGTGGGTTTTTGGGATTATTTATAACAATTGTTAGGCATTTATCTGACCTAAGCATAGTTACTCCAAAACACAAATTAATAAAGATGGTATACAGTTCAAAACAAATATTGCAAGTAACTTCTCACCATACTGGGTAAAATCCATAGCCTAATTACAAAAACTTAAAAATTAATAACCATAATAATTTACTTAACAATTACAATAATTATTTAAGGCACTAAACCCTTACCGTGGTAAGAATCGACTGGAAGATTCTTTGGTTTACATTAAATATTACATTATTATTGCATGATTCTAACTTTGAACTTTTAAAGGTACCTTAGAATAACAGTAACAAATGCAAAAATATACTTTCAACAGAAAATACTGATCCCTATAATACAATTTTTGCTTACAAATGTTTGGCACAGTTTCGACGTAATAAATTTCTTTGGTAACAAGGAACACGCTAAACAAACATTAATAACAAGAACAAGAAAATATAACAATCTATGTATAATATTATGCACCTTATGTGTATAATAAATGAACAAAAACATGTCTTACGTATAGTTATTGTCTATCGTTAACTATTATTATTATTATTTGGCTCAATCAACATTGGACTTTGTTCCTCCCATTAAATTTCCCCCGAGTAATATACAATTACGTTACATTTAGCTGCCAACCGTAAACTAGCTGTGATTGATTCTATCTTTGGTAATAAAATAATGAACTAGTGAACCTATAAGTTAATACATTCAAATCTTACTCCGAGAACCACTGTGCAAATATTCCGTTCTCTTTCTACCAAATATGGCAGATTTTTGGTGGTCCTTCGAGTCGGATTATTCTGCCTACACATACCCCTCAAATATAGTGTCAAAACGAATTATTCCTGTTACTGTGTTGGGTACGCAGCGAATTCAAATTTCGTATAAAAATGTTGTCTATATAATACTATTATTTCTTGTTTACTCTCAACGGGATCTTTTGGTATTATTCCTGAAGTCTTGCGTTAAGTAATGGGTCCTTTGGTCTTCTTTCCCTGGTACGTTTGAAGCTGTAACAGAAACGGATAGCACATAATTATAAATTCTTCATTTCCACATTTCCACCAAAATCCATATTTACATTTATAAATGGCTAGTATTAATTTAGTGCAATAGAAAACATACCTACGATTTAAAGTAATAATTTGTATTAAAAGTTTTGCAGAATTTCATATTGCATTTAACAGTAGCCATTTCAATGTCCAAATAAACATGCAGCTTTAAACACAGACAAGTATAGTAGAAACAATATAAAAAAAGCATTACGATTTGATTTACAGTGCTAATGGCAAGTGGTTATAAAAGTTAGGTAATATACTTACAAGTTATAATATAGGATTATAACTTGAAAACGTTGTAAGGTTAGGGTTCGTTAATATGGATATCCCAAAATGGTTGGTTCCGGTTAGGTTTTTGTTAAGTTCACGACTCGGTTAGTATGCATTGATGTTACTAAGGGATTACTGACAGCGGCTTCGGCGGCGTTGCGGTCAATCGGTGACGAAGTCCACCTTCTCTGGCAGATCTTTGTGGAGGTGCCGCTCGTGCAACAACAGGTTGTGCTTCTGGTAGGCCCGGTACACGCAGTATGGGCACTTGAAGCTCGGCTGCTTTCTGCACTCGTACTTTATGTGCCGCTGCAGCGAGCCCTTGTGCTTGTATTTGTTCCCGCAGTCCACGCATTCGTACATCGTCCACCCGCTCTTACTCCCGCCCATACCCACTGAACCGTAACCCAATATATAAGGAGTGTATAATTGTGCAACTGAAATAAAATGCAAACAAAAATAAATACGTGCAAATAATAGAAGCTACCACCTCGTGAAGCCAAGCCACCGTTACGCTACCGTGTCAAGTGAAAGCGTTGGATAATGCACCATGTCTCCCATTTAATTTGCTTTTTGGAACTACTGTATTAATCTAGGCACTACCTTCGCCGTTCGGTAGCATGCAACCACTAAATGCATAAACCCTATACAAGAATACAAGTGTTATTTAATCGTCGTAATTAATTACACATGGATATATCCCTCTGCAGGAAAAGAAATGTAAACAAGTAATCAATCAAATAATTACACCTTAATTAACATGCAAGTGAGTACTTAAATACGTTTGCGTTATTATAAGGCATCCAGTTAAGTGTGTTAGTAAATTTTACCGACCCGAGTTACATTCAAGGCGAGATTTATAACACAGTAAAAAGGTCTTGCTTAACACCATTGAAACAATTAAATTTCAAGAATAGCAACTTTATTAAAATACAAAAAGGTTATAAAAATACAATCAAATGCATTGAATCACTGTAACTCCGTGTGATAGATAGTTTACAATTGTATAATATAGAGCCCTACAAATATTCTAGGCAGCAATTCTTAACATCTAGTTTTGTTCGTAACAATCACTTGGATTCTATACTGAATTAGTGATACTGTTGCGGCGTGGTATCTACATAAAATCGTCATAGAGTCCTTTGTGTAAAATTCAAAATATATGTGCATTTACTTTCTTAATTATCACAGCTATGTGTAGTATAACAAAATGTGTCCTATAAGTGTTAGTTTACGAGGAACAGGTTAAATAGCTAGCGTTCAAATGAGTCTGGCATAGTTCTGTTTTAACCAAGTGAATATTATATTAAAGGTTTTTTTTGGAGACAACTTTTCGGTCATTGTCATTTTGTGCGTTTATATATTTATTAAACCACAACAGCAGGGACGAGCTGAAATACTCGCTCCCTGCCACACACTAATTAGAAATTTTTATATTGTTGAATTAGTTTTAATTTTTGTGTGGCGAGTAAATGGTTTAAAAATCACAACCTAGAAATTTTGCGACCAAACGTTACGTTCCAAGACGGCTGATTGAGATTTTAGAAAATGAGAAGTTTTAAACCCTAATGACTAACTTTTTAAAGGCACTTAGTTTTATACTGACAAGACTTGTATGGTTGTACTTTGTGAACTACTACATTTTGATTGTATGATGGTAACTGCGACGGATAACCTAAGCGGTAGCGGTCGCTCGTTCACAAGAAACTTGTACTCGAAGGTAAATTTTGTCGAGACTGTGTAATTGCAGCCACTACCGCGCCTATCTTAAAATAATTTCTAAATGGTAATGTGTATAAAAATTACTTATAAACTATGTGGAAGATTGGTTTGAACTTCGCAAAAATAACATGATTGTTCACGTTTCATTTGTTCTCGCAACAATGTAATGGCAGTGTAGTTAATTTGATATTTAATATTTATATATTTTCGATTTAGCCAACAATCACTTCAAATAAGGCACTCATTCGTCAAGCATTGTGACCTAATTACTAATAATCTTATTGGCCCCACAATTATAGGTTAGAAGACGTCAAGAGCGACGCATCTGATATAGGTACAACATATCATCTGCACCGAGGAACTACATAAATCGCCGCATCGCAAACGACAATAGCTCATTCCACTCTACTGTCACTGAAAATAATAAAAAAACCTAAACTAATATAAAATAAATGCATTAGATTAAAGAGATCTAAAAATAATTGAAATAAAAAATTAACTTAAATGAGTATTACAATAATAATGGAACATGCATTATGGCAAAGAACTAGAGTTTGCTAACTAAGCGAAAATAGCTTCATTTTGTTTACAACTAAGATATACAAGACTTAAGACTTAATTTAGCATTCAAACTCTCATTTGCCCGAGTATACAAGGCATGCAGATTCCAGATGTGATCTTCTAAACAAAAGAAATTTGAAAACTATAATTGTACTCTCAAAATATGCTCCCATTAGTTTGATTCTAACCATAACAATTAAAAAATAAATGATCATTTGGATTTAGAATAGTAACTGAAATTGGTAACGAACTTAACCAACACTGCTCTATAGTCTGTTGTAGCGTTCTACTAAATCCAGGCAGGAATGATAGTCTACAATAAATGCTGTACAAAAAATACATGTACAAAAATGATAAAAAGCGTAACTATACAATCACTTTCGACTTAACGTAGTGGATAAATGCAACAGTTTGTACATATTGCCGCATGTCAACTGCTAGCGCGAGGCTACGGCAATTTGATGCGTATTACCATGTTAATTATTGTCATATGTGTAGGCGTTGCATAAATTGAGTACAAGTAGGTAACGATTGCGGGCACGAGCTGTGACTCGCGGAAGGGCGATTACATCTAACGTGACTTTCTGATGCCACTATCACAAAAGAGATTTACTTAATCACATTTATCACAATCGGAATAACTTGGGAATTTTATACTTTACCATAATTTCTCTTTAAATTCTGAAAGTATACTAACGATTCTTAAGTCGAAAACACGTTATCAGCTACATTAAAACTGGTTCTACTTTCAACAACATTCCAATTAACAAACATTTATAAAGGCAATGATATGTAAAAGTTTTACATAGATCGGCGATCGACTCTAAAATTATGGAGTATTCATCAAAGTGACTAAAATTGGTTCGCAGAAGTCGAGCGCGCTATGTACAAGCGTCGACGTTGTCCTGCTTTATGTACTGTTCGGGCTTCATGTGCACCTCGCGGTGCATCCTCTCCATGTGACGGGCGATGTGCATCTTTTGCTTGGCGCGGTACACACAGTACGGGCATTGGAACTGAGGCTCTTTGCCGCACTCCCACTTCTGGTGGTTACGGAGCGAGGACTTGAGTTTATACATTCTGCCGCAGTCGGGGCAGCTGAAGCTGGGCTCACCGGGCGTGGGCGGCAGCGAGGGCGCGTTCACCCTCATGCTGGCGACGAGCGGCAGCGCCAGCCTCGCCGACCACTGGTCCCAGGACAGGCCGCCGATCCTAGTGAAAGAGACGTCTTCCGGCACGCAGCCTCCGCCGCCTGAAACCGCGACACGACTCATATAACGATCACACGCCGACCGACACAAACGCAACATTCAACATTCCCGTGAGGTTAACGACAGTTACAAGCAATACGAATACATGTTATATACATAATGATATACGTACATAATGGATAAATATATTACATAGACTAGATATGTAAATTTCTACTGTGAGTGTCCACCGAGTGCTGTGATGAAAGCTTTGCAAAAAGGAAAAGTAAAAAAAAAGAACAAAAAGAAAATCATAACATTTATTTCGAATTATAACTAAATTTCATCGGGATTGTCTGACAGTTCGAGATTTTTGAAGACGCGCGGATGTTTTCCAAAACCGTTTTCACGTATAGTGAAATATTTTGATAGAGAAATGTTGTTACTCGATATTATTTTAATCACTGCTTTGGATATTGTAAAACATTTTTGTTAATTTAATGTAGTCTCCCGACCCATGGGCTTTCTTGTCTACCTGAAATTATTAATTAGATTAGTATGAACGAAAAAGAAAAGAAAAATAAATCAAACAGCATGCCCAAGTTGAAAATGTAAGCAGTGGGGTTTCGAAAAACAACGACTCGTGCACATGCAGTTATAACATGAACGTAAAAGTAAGACTCACCTAAAATTTTAAAGGCAACAAAAAGGAACGGGAAAAGGAACGCTTGCGAAGAAGCAAGGAAAACAAAACATAAATAATAATATTAACTAGAACTATATTTGAATAAACTTTTCTACCAAATAAACCCCAATATATTCATATAAAAATCACACTAATTGATTACCTAATTTTCCAATAACATTAACAAACAATGAAACATCGCCACGCCGGAGAGCAGCTCCGGGCGTGGAATCAAAATCTAAACCGACACATGATATGATGGACAACATTGCACATCGAAGCAACTTTCTACGCTTAGCAATGACTCGAATGTTCAACAACAAATCAATAACATCCTTTTCTTAACATCACGTTAATAAACTAATACTGACTTTGGTCAAATAGCTTTGTTATCCTAGTTCAACAAAAATATCAACAGTCAACATGCTACGCAAAACTTTTTATAATGTTATTGCAAGTTTAATATCATAACCACTTTTAAAATTTTTGAACACATTTCATATCCCAATATAGACCGAATAACATCAGAAAATATAATTATAAATATTTATGATACTAACTACAGGTAACATTGTAGGCACATTATGGATGAGCTTTTAAATAAACTAATCTACACGTGCCCTCAAACTTAATGAGAGGGAATACTTCAAGTATTACTTCAGCGGTTTGAGGCGCCCGTTCTCCGACTGAACGTCATATCTCATACTAATCTAACAAGTAAACAACTCTAAACGTAACTTTGGGTTATCAAAAAAGAAAATGGGAAGACAAAAATGGTCCCTCACGATGAGAACGTACTAAAAGTACGGAAGAGAAAACAATAACTTATGAACGTCAACAACATTCAGGTCTTTCTAATAAAATTAATTTTTCGACCATCGGAAAGTAAAATAAGTTAACTTTCTTAATCTTAACGCATATAATATTGAATATAATAATGTGAAATATCAACTAATCATTTCTTAATATCATTGCACTAAAGTCATATGATTTGGAATTATTCCTTTAAAGGAATGCACAGTTTATTATAACTAGAACAAATTCGAGCTAGTAAACAAATTACAATAATCTGTAAATTTAACTTCAATCTAAAGGGGCTTGTAATTTGATCCAACTGCATTGGAAGCGTCATTCAGAGCGTTCGCCCGCGAAGTTCGACCTTAGGTCGTATTCCTTGGAATAAAATACTTGGGTCAGTCTTAACTACGACAATAAACTCTAAAACAAAAACAACAAAATTATCACTATACCATTAGGGAATGTGCACTTTACAACTATTCTCTTTAGTGTAAATAAACGTCTTCAACAAAATAATGTAAATATAAATAAAAATTATTGCAGTACCGATTTGGTTAGGTATCTACTTTGGTCTAATGTTTGTCTACAACTAATTACACGACTTTTTGTTTCTCCTGACTTTGTTGTTGGCGTACATGAACCACTCGCTGCTGTGGTGCTTCCTAATGTGTACGCCTAAGTTGCCCCTCTGCTTGGCCTTGTAGGCGCAGTAGGGGCATTGGTGGGATGGGGCCTTGCCCCCGCACTCCACGTTCTCGTGGCGGCGCAGGGTCGACTTCCAGCGGTATCTCTTGCCGCAGTGCCGGCACTCGAATTGGCGACTAGCATCGTCCGAGCTGTTTCCGTCTCTCTTGGCGTAGTGCGGCTTTATGTCGGGTTTGGTGTCGAAGCCGTCGTTCGAGTTCACGTTAACAGAATTGATACCGAAGCTGTCGTAAATGTCGTCGTTCTCCTCCGGGAGCACTATATCGTCCGTGTCATCGTACTCGGCGTCGGACTCCGTGTCCTCCTGCTTGGAGGCGGACTTGTAGTCTCCGACGTTTTGGCCCACGGTGTTGTTGTTCTGCATGAACGCCTGCTGGAGGAAGTGGGCCTTGATGTTGTCGGGGATCGCGTCGAGAGAGTCGAGGGGCAGTTTGGGGAGGTGCAGCGAGGGGGGGAAGTCTTTGGCCGGCGACTTGACGATAGTGGTGAGCCGGACGGCGGGCGGCACCAGCGCCAGCGACTGCGCGCGCGCGCGCTGCGCGGACAGCAGCGACAGCAGCGCCGTCGGGAGGCTATCCTTGGGTAACTCTGAAATACAACACATTAACGGTATTGCAAATAATAAGTCAAGCGCAACTACGGACGGAGTCGTGTTAATACTACCAGAGGCTAAAATAAAATTAAGGAACCAAAGAAATGCGTTATAATAATAAAAATATAAAATAATCTCGGTTAGAAATGATAAAAGGCGAAGCTTCTAAGTCATGCGAACATGCACAATCCAAGTGATCGATTCTCCGTGAACTTATCTTCCCATAAAGGTTCGGGGACGGACGCGCGGGGCCAAATGAAACGCCGGGGTGAGTGGAGACGTTTAATCGCTCGAAAAATATGAAATACGAATCACTTCATCGATACACAAGTATACAAGGCTCATAGAAAACGCGTAATACCATAAAGAGGAAGACCGCTAGGTTAGGTTAAGGCACTGGGCGGCGGCGGTTGGGGCGGTTGGGGCGGGGCGGGGGCGCTACTTGGGCGCGTCGTCGGGCGCGTCGGGCGGCGGCGACTTGACGCGCGCGTGCTCGGGGTGCTTGCGCTCCAGGTGCTTCTTGAGCTCGTTGCGGCGGTGCTTGCTGAAGACGCAGTGCGGGCACTTGTACTGCGGCTCGCGCCCGCACTCCAGCGTCACGTGGCGCACCAGGTTCTTGCGCGCGTTGTAGCAGCGCTGGCAGTTGGGGCACTTGTACTTGTTGTTCTCCGTCTTGTACTGCGCGCACGGCAGCGCCTTGGAGCGCTCGCGCGGGAAGTACGCGTAGCGCCCGTCCTTGCCCTTGTCCTTGGCCTCCTTCGGCTCCTTGGGCGGCGAGGCCTTGCCGGGCGCCTTGGGCGGCGGCTGCTTCTTGTTCTCCTTCGCCTCCTTGGCCTCCCGGGCCTCCTTGGCCTCCTTGGCCTCCGCGGGCGCGGGCGGCGGCGCGGCGGCCGCGGCCTGCGTCGTCGCCGCCGACTTCCTTACCGGCTTCAGTATGGCGAACGTGGTCGCTTTCTCCGGCTCCTCGGGGATAAGTTTTTTACTGCGCGTTACGATACTCTGTCGAGTCGCAAGTTTTGGACCTGAAAAAGAAAATTGGAGTAAAGTGGATTTTTCCGTTTAGCGAAAGTGCATCGCGAGGACACACGAAGCGAAAATAAAAACGAACCGATTAACAAAAATAATGTATTTGAACTAAAAGAAAATAATGACAAAGTACCCGTGGTGATAGATAACAAAGAAAAGTTAATAAAAAAAACGAGATTCAACAAGATCATTCTAAAGCTAGAAGCAAACTTATTAAAAAATAACAAAAATAAACAAAACTGTGTATGTCATACACTCTGGTGATTTAGAATGATCTTTACTTAAAATTACATTATCCAAAATAATGGCACTGGTATAAGAGATCAATTATTATGAAGTGACTATAAAATCTCCGATACTTCAAGTTTTTGTTAACCCAAAATGTACTTAAATGTTATAATGTATGTTAAAAAAAACTAAACAACTCATGTTTCATATGAACGAAAAGTAAATGCTTTCATGATTAAGAACAAATAAATCAACAAAAAATATAGAATCAACGAGGCAAGAAAAAAGAAACAAGTGATCAATCCTCCTCCGGTTCAAACTTGGCCACGAAATCGGGATGTTTTAGAGCAATATGGGCTGTTAGGGTCTTTTTCTGCGAGTATTTTTTCTGGCAAACGCCGCAGGCGAACTGGGGCCCTGTTACGCATTCGTACTTCTCGTGTCTCAATTTATTCCTCCTATATTTGTAGTGCTTCTTGTGGCAAATGGAACAAATGAATTTTTTCTCTGATTGATTCGAGCTCTCGCCCTTTCGTGTGCGCCCTCTCTTTTTGATGGCGTACTTCTTTTTTAAGCAATTAGGGAGCGGCTTCCTTCCTCTGCGGGGTTTGATCTCAACTTTCGTCTCCTCCCTAGCGTCAATTTTCCTAAGGTATCCTCGGGTTAAGGGGAAAGGAGTTTTGGCGTATGGCAAGGATCCTGTTAGTTTTAAAGGCGGTTCTGCAAGGGTAAAACAATGAAAAGCGAGAATAAATTAAATAATAAGCAGTGGGAGACGTACATACGTATTATCAAAACAGTGTAGGTGTGCACAGGTGAGAGTAAGGTGCAACGAGTGTTATGTACAAGTAACTGATGTGATAAGACATGTTTTTTAATTTTATGCACAAGGGATTGTAATGAAGATGCGACGGGTTGATGACAGAGCGAAAAGCCAAGCGCTAATGTTATTTAAGGTGTGGGGAATTATGTCCTAGAGAGAAGAAACTTGTGTCGATTGCGCTCTTGTGCCGATTATTGAAATCCTAAAAAACCGTATTTCCTAATGTAACGTTTTATTTGTTGTAGTGTAAACAATAGTATAAAATGAAATGCGCATCTAGGAACGCATCTATCACTAGGAATCCAAATGAATGGCTAATACATGCTAAAATAATCTAGTAACACGCTCTGAACTGATCTCGCCTAGTGGACATGCATGTCTTATAAAAAAAAAACTGCCTAATTAAAACATGAATTGCTTAGAAAAGACATCTGCAGTGAAATCACATGTGAATGCAAAATAAAGAATAATAAATAATAGATAAATAAGCCACATAACCAACAACTACAATAAAAGTAATGATTCAGATTTACCTTGGTGCGTTAGCGCCGGCGCGGAGACACAATATTCCATACAATTCTTCTATAAACAAATTGAATTGCATCAAATCACACATGTGCCAGGAGATCGCAATTGTACACGGTATTTGAACTAGCAACTAGCCACGGCCGAATTCGATGAAATGTATAAACCGATACAACATTTGAAAAACCCATAAACAAAATAGAGGGTAAGGTGTGGTGTTGTGCACATTGAACATGATTCTCTACGGCTACCGAATAGATACTACGTAGTCAATAATAAATACGTTAAATTTTACTTACCAATAAAAGTATGAGCCATTCCAATCCACTATGTTAATTATATGTTAATCGGTTAAGTTAGTACTAGGTATTCGAGTTAATTGTTACTGCTGTGTGATTTCTACTCCGCACTACATATACTAATAGGCATGCAATGCTCTAAATGTTGGCTAGCCCCCATATCACAAACAAAAGCAAACAACCAGTACACGTCACGTAATACGTAATTGTAAAGATAATACTTACCTCGCACTTTACCTCGCCTTAAAGAAGGCTACATTCGATCAAAACCTTAACTACCATTACCGTTACCTGCTCACTGAAATTCTTAAACATTTCATATGTATGGATATAAAAATATAAATTTGTAATACGATTAGTAGTTTATAAAATTAATATTAGATATAATTAATACAAGGTTGAAGTTTCACATGTGAGAACACTAGCACTCTTGTATCCGCTGTCGTGAATATAATATTTATATATAACAAGATAAATAGATTATTTTAAGCAATGGCTGTTTGTCTAAATTCAAATTATGGGAAGACATTGCGCATTTCATCCGTTCCTTGTATGCCTGGCACAATGAACTTTTGTGTTGCGGGTCACATGATCGTGGCGGGAATAAAAGTTCATTGTACCAGGGAATCAATCTCGAGTCCCATCACCACCGCCGGGGTGGCCGCGGGCACGGGCGTGTGCTACGTGACTGGGCTTACCTTGCGAGTCTCGGACGCCGTCGCTCGAGTTCATTATTTCGTCTTGAGATCGTTCCATGTGCCATTGGAAGTCTGCAATCAAATGATTCCACTGTACTCCTGTCCTTTCGCGACATATGTCACGTTATAACATTGTTACCAAATTCCTTTTTCACTTGTGAGTCACTGTGACCGCCAGCCAAATGATTAGTTTTGCTCGGCTATTGTAAATTATAATGTTGTAAAGCAGCGTGAACTTATGTATTTACAGACTATGTTAATAGAGTTGCATATGTACAGGCAAATGACAACAAGTGATTAACGTCATTTGGGAGGGTAATCCCAGTAAGGCCTCTTATTTTATGTTGTCTCAATACAGAATTACTTTAGTTTGAAGTTATTTTACAAGTTTTGCATTTAAATGCTTTTTTATTAGTATTATATGTATTGAAAAAAAAAATTATTGTTACTGGTGGTCAGTAGGAATCAGAAAGAAACGGCAATACTTCTTCGTGTCGTCACACCTCAATGGACTCACAAAAACTGCAGACCAATAATTTTTGTTAACAAGGACAGATGACCACCATTATTAAGTTCAGTCATTATGATATCCCGTGTTAGTTTAGATACCGAAAAACTAACTTTTAGATTAATTTCCATCATAGCCGTGCAGTGAGTTGATTGAAGCCATAAAAAAAAAATGGAGTCATATATACCACTACTCTTAACAAAATTGAACAGGTTTTCTTACAGTATGCCTTTTTGTTGAGTACCCCAATATTTCAACACAGTTCCATGTATCATGATCAGGTGATGACAAGAAAACCAGTTGTATATTAACAATTTTGGGAAAAAGCCTTAAGTATACCCTATTATTTACCATTATATTTTAATAATGTGTGTAATTATGTACGTTGGTACTTTTAGCTATGTTATTTATTCATAACTTAGTGGATTATCTACAGTAACTAGTTGTCAGACATTCTTACATATCATAATTACATTATATCTATATTTCAGACTATTTCTTTATGTTCTTAATTGTTCTAATGAATTACAGTAACCTAGCTCTACTCTTTTGGGCTATTAAGTTGAAATACGATTTAATACTAAAGTAACAATAATTTATGTTAGTGAAATGTAACAAAGAATACTAACTGCGAACAACGTCGTTATGTGTGACGGCCGGTTGATCATCAGCCTCCTCATCAATAGTAAGGTCTTCGACTCCATCCCGAGGCGCCTCTTCCTTGCAGTGCGCCTCGTCGCCATTGCCGGTCGCGTTGTCGTTGGCTGGGGGCAGGTTGAGGACGGGCACCTCCAACCCCTCGGTGGACAGGCGACGCGCTTTTTTGCGGCGGCGAGTGGGGCTCACCGAGCCCTCACGACTGTCTATGCTGCCATCGCGAGCCTAGACAAGAGTGTTATTTCATTATTTTGCACTTTTCGTCTAGATGAAAGGGGTTGTGCTTAAATCAAGTTTACTTTTTGTTAGTCCAAATGACATTGATTTGATCGCCACATTTCGTTGTGTATATAAATTCTTAAAATCAAACATTAAATACAGTTTTTAGGTTTTCGCATTTGTTACACATAGGTTTCTTTAATTTTCAGTCAACTGTGACCTGAAATGTTGGTTTGTTTGAACAAATAAATAAGCGCAAATTAGATCTGAAAGTTGTACTATAGTTTTGTTTTCTGATCAATCACTAAATTTAAAGATTTCCAAACAATTGTTAACTATTTAACATAGTAAAACAGACAACATGAAGGATTTCTTATATTATTTCACTATCACACATACAGTGTGCAAATATTTAAGGATGTTAACTTTCTTAAATAAACAGCTATCCAGTATAGTTATGTACAATAGATACTAGTTTTTCCTTATACAAGAGAAACTACAGAAACAGAAAATTTCCCTCTTATTTTGGTTGTAACACATTTGTTTGCAATAGGCAAGGGACATGATTGAATCAAACATTCAGTTGATAATAGCAAGTAGGTAATGACTGAGAACATTTTTTAAAATGTGTAAACAGTGTTTTGTAAACATCTTTGTATCTACTACTGTGATGATGTCACTGGTTGCTCTGAACTGTTCAGTGGACACAACTGAAAATAGTGACCTTGGCATGTGTGTAATGAATGGCCAGGTGATGGTTATACCTGTGGAGGGGGTGAGGGGGCTCTGGGCGGGTGTGCAGCGGCAGGCGGCGCCGGGCGCGACGGAGGCCGCGATGGCTTGTTGTCTGATAGGCCCTTTATCTGTAGAGATTCGGCTGCCTTCAGCAGAGCCGCTAACTGGTCCTGCGAGATGTTCACTTCTCCACGGTACATGTAGTCCATCATAGCCCTAAGCTCTGCATACTTCACATCTTTCAATATTATAATTGGATGCTTGTCATACTGCTGTGAAAGTACGCTCTGGAACAAAATAATAGTTTTATTGTATAACACTGTTTACTCTCTGTGTCAGTATGTCGGTTTGTAAATACTCATGTTTGATTTGTGTTTGGGGATATGCTTATTATTTTTAACTTCAGTCTATTGTTTGGATTCAGAATCATACTGCAGCTATTTTATGTTATTGTTTAGAGGCAATGAAATGTTATACAGAAAATGCAGCCTAACTTAAATAGCTACTTTAGGCAGCCTATTACATACATACAGGAGAGTGACATCATTAGAAACAATTGAAAACAGTCTTGTTAGCATTCCAAATACAAATTACTTAAGTGGTCATTTAATTAATGACAACTAATGCAACAGTCATTTGACAAATTGCATTTGAAAATTACATTATCAAAAGTAGGAGAAGCAACTTTCTGTTGCCAACTCATCTATGCATCAATTTAATTGCTAACACATGAAAGCTAGAATGAAACAACTGGAATGTTTATTAGAGCAAAACTGTGCTGCCTTGTAAGTAACTTAAATGCGATAGCAATTGACCTAGATTGCGCGAGCGCGTCTAAATGGTACCAACCTCGAAATAGGGACTGCACGCTGACAGGACTACTTTGTGCGCCTTGAGGGTCTGGCCCTCTGCAGCCAAGGTGCAGTCGACGTGAATGCCTTTCTCCAGGAGAGTGTCGAAAACGGACACAAGCGTCGACTGATGGTTGTTCCAGCGTAGGCAAAACTGCTGGTCGTCGTCCATGGTGCCGTCTAGCCGCTCGTCGCGCCCCTGATCCTGCCACACCGAGCTACAGGTCAAACTACGTCGGAATACCACGCACTAACTAGGCCATTAGAAAAATTTCAATAATATAGCGAAGTAGTTTCGCAAAACACGACGACCACTTTGAAACAAACTACTTTATAGATACACTACGATATGAGATCACGCCCTAACTTAACTAAATTAACTTTATGGACCACATACGACTCGTCGTAAGCGACGCGGCACAAAGAAAATGGCCGCTTTTCCAGCGCGACAAAAAATAAAATGGCGACGAAAATTCTAAGTTTTACTATTTTCTGAACAAACTTTCCACTACATACACAAACGATCCAAGTTCTCGGCGTTGCCGAGACACGGGGAACTTTGCAGAAGTTGAAGTCAACAAAGAAACTTCCAAGAAACTTTACTTCGAAAGTTCATCGAGTGGAAATTTTCAAGATGAAAACTCGGAGTTGTAAGTGAGCGCTTATCGTTTGTAATCCTCGGTCGCGAGATCTAACTAAATCACTTACCTTGACTATTTCATTAACTATCACGATTTAACACTGTCGTAATTCTGTTTTGAAAGTAATCTAGCACTGCCACATTCAATTATATTAGCACATTTGCACACCCGCCAGCTTTCGTGAATGAAAAACACAAAACTATGCTATGTTGCAAGTTTAGAGAAAGGCACCTCTACAAAAATCCAAACGAAGTACAAGTTGGAAGCGACGCGAGTGACCCAAAATAAGCTCTATCAATGTTGCCATTTGTAATAAAAAGGAAAGCTTGAAAAAAATAATTTTGTGATTTAAATAGAAAAAACAACTAGTTTAGTCATCATACGACAATTAAAATAAATTTAACAATTTATTATTTCTCGGTAAATGATGTAGTTTCTAACGCAAATATAATTTATTCGCTATTTGATTGATTTGTCCTTGACCCACTTTTTGCTTGACAGATCATCTCGTGATCTATTCTAATCTGAGATTGCCTGTTACCGACAGAAATGTATTCTTTGGCTGTATTATATTTGGTTTTCTATGTTTTTCTATGTAATTGTTGTTTAAAAGTAAGAAAATTTTAGATAATTTGTTTGATGCAATTTATTGTGTTGCCACATGTGAAATATATAACACATTGCAAGATCGAGATTGTTCCAATTTGTTTAAAGCGACATCTATGATTTCGTTCGTGTACTGGTTAGCGAAATGTCCAATGAAATGAAGGTGAACATTGTAGCGAGCGGTAAAATTGAAATGCGCACACATACCGAGTTAATCCAACTTTTGTAATAGTTTTAAAAGGTCTGTCCATACATATCCGGGCCGTGCCCGGGACGTGGACGGGCCGAGCTCCGTCAGAACTCAAAAAAATATCGTTGCGTATATTTTGTACGCCCCTTCCACGTCCCGGGCACGACCCTGATGTGTGTGGATAGTCCTTTACCATTATCACTCGGACCTTCTTAAAAAAATTACAAAATCTAAACTTACGTACATTAAGTAATGGCACGTACTTGGTTACAAGAAATAAGTACAGACGGTAATGGATAATGAGGCGTATGTAGGTATATTTATCTATTAGCGATTTGGTCACGTTTGTTTTGCGTACGTATTATACATATAGTTATATTATGTATTTCCATAAAAGAGCTAATCCTATAGCGAAGAAAAAAACGTATATTCTTTGACATCAACCAAGGCCTCCAGTTTGAATTCATTTTGAAACAGCCTCTTAAATGTTTATTATTATTTGTTTATTATGTTTATTATTTACATATAAATCGACAGCTAACATGAACAGCTAACATAACAATGAATGTTGCGTGACGGTTAACAAAGTAATTTAGTAGCAGTAGAGCTCCTTGTGAAGGAGTTCGTCCAGGATAGAACTGCCACCTTACCTATTTCTGCCGCCAAGCAGTAATGTCAGCATTACTGCGTTCCGGTTTTGAAGGTACTGGTAAAATTACAAGCACATGGGACTTGTCAACATATGTCTCAGGGTGACCGGCTCAGTGGTAGTGCCCCTTAGATCTTTGCAATTTAAAGCCCTGAGTGGCACTGTAACTGTTATGGACAGTCGTGTTATCATCAGGCGCACGACTTGTTCGTCTCGTCACTCGAAATTAAAATAATAATAATTATGAATTTAAACTTGTTTTTATGATACCAAATGACGGGATGGTAAGTAGAACTAAGAATAGTCTGTAACGATGGAGCTGGCATTATCGCTAAGCGATAAAAGCTCTGGTCAAACAAAGTGACGGGACGAAGAAGTCGTGCCCCTGGTGGTTAGCTTTAAATCTGAGGACATTGCCACTGCGCCCGTCTCATGAGACATGAGTTGAAATGTGTCTGTAATAGCACTTACCCTTAAAATCATAGTCACAGAACGCAATTTTGCTCTATAATATTTCATGTTTATACATATATTGCTATGCTGTGGCTCAGCCTAGCATTAAGATGAGCTGGCTAGCCTTTTCGGCTATTATTTATATATTTAGTAATTTATTTCTTTTTATTTATTTTAATTGTTTATTATTTATTTTAAATTTAGATTAATATTATTATTATTTTTTGTATATATGTTTGTAATAGCCGACTAAATGTTTAGATGATTGTTGTTGTTCTACCTAGACCTTTTGTTCAGAATTTTAGTAACCATGACAACGTATGCAGAGAACACAGGTGGAGGCTGAAAACAGTACTTAGTTTTAAATAGAAATCAGAATAGCTAATGTGTATAAGTACACATATTATGTGATTTTTTTATAAACATACATGTATGTGTGTTTGATGAATAAAGCTCTATTTATTTACAGATCATCCTACTCAGTAAAAGTAGGTTTTATGTAAACCATTTAACGCGCTCTTAGAGGCGATCCATGCTCGGCACTGGGACTTGTATTGCTTGACACCGTTACCCGTGGTGTCACTTTACGGGGTCGGGAAGACAGTAAAAAGTTGACAGACTGTTATTGACAGTTACAAGCATACTTACTTATAAGTGGTATATTTATTTATTGTATAATGTTTTTTGTGTTAATTCACATCATCAATATAAACAACTAAGTATTTTCCTGACGATCACTTTCAGATCTAGAAAAAAAATGAAATTTCTCTTTACTTATCTGTTTACACCTATTCGACTTCAATGAAATTTATACGATAGCTTATATTTTTTTGCGATATCAATGAGAATCTATAGTAAATGGATGGATAGAGTCAACCAGAAAATATAGTGAAATAAAAAAGTATATGAATTTACACTATGTATTGTTTAAATTAGTAGCGTTGCCTTCAGTTGCCTTGTGTTAATGTATATAAGTAGGTAATAAATTTGTATACTCAAAAAGTAAGTAGATATTCTAAATTGATTGTAACGAAAAACTCGAAAGGAATAAAAAGATAGAGCCTCCGCCCGCGCCCGCTGGTAGAGCAGCTTCGTTATAAAAATCAATAGCATTAGTAAGTTCGTACAAACGAATTATACGAATCCCGTTGTGTGCGTCGCTAGGCTTTCGGTGTGCGGGAAACAAAAAAAAACCACGAGCGAAATTCTTGTAATAAAAATCAATCGGAGCGGAGAGAGAAGGCGCCGCGCGGGGCGCCGACTGGTCGGGCGCCGCGTGGGAGGGCCTCCCTCGCCTCCACTCCTGCATACCTACACGTGCTATAGTGCATCTACCCTCCCTCCACGTGACTTATCCCTCTTTTTTGTGTCGCGATTCGCTTCCTAAACATCAAACTTTTCGCAAAAGTGCCGTTTTAAATCTCTAGTTTGCAAGTGCTAGTAGTGCGAAACTGAACGGCTCTAAGTTATGAACGCCGGGTTCGGAGTTCGGTAGCGTGTCGCGTCGGGGCCGTACGCGGCCCGGCTCAGCCGGTTCACGGCAAAAAGGCGTTTGTTTTTATTTCTTCGGCGCGGAAAAAAATCAGCACGCGCCCGCCCTGCACCTCCTAAACATGCGCCACGCAGCGACGCAGACTCGTCCGGGTGTGTGCCGAATTCACTTTCATTTGCGACATTTCATCGTATCCCGAAGGTCATCGTGCAGCGGTGGGCCCGTGCTGCGGTGCGGACTCCGCGGTGCATGTGTGGAGCCGGCGGGTGCTTACGGCGGCCTCCGCTGACCGACTAGGTGAGTGTCTTCGTCGATTCGTTTCCCTCGCGTTTATCGGCTCCGTTTTACGCCGTCCTTCGCTGTTCTCGAGAAGGCGGTGAAAGTGCAATATTATGTTTCGAACCTCGCATCGTGCCGGGCGCGGGGCGCGCAGCCCTGCCGTGTCCGCGGCTGGTCGGATCGCGCTCCGCGACCAATGGCGCGATGTGAGGGACAGCGTGAGAGGGTTAACCGCGCAACTTTACATTCACTATTTTCCCTCCACCTCCGGCAGGTGTAGCGCAACATCTGCGCTATTTCTCCATTCATAAAGTTCCTATTCAGTCGACATGTGCGTTTTCTTACAGAACGTTAAAGTTTTGAATTCTTCTCGCGGGAAATTCATCACGAAGCAAAGTTTCATTTTAGCTTTTTGGTCGCGCGGATGTACTTATACGTACTTACTACAGAGCGACGTTGTATATCTGTGTAGCGTCGAAAAACAAACGGAATTAAAAAGAATCCCGAGAGACGGCTCGCCTTGCGAACGGTGGAAAGAGAGGGATTCAACTTTGCACTCTTCATTTGTGCACCAATCGAGAAAAAATTCAATAAAGCTCGCTTCCTTTTGTCTAATTGCCTATGTAAACCTACTTATATTACGGCGATTGTTCGATTCGAGCGACATTTGGAGGAAAAAATGGAGCACTTGCTTGTTGTTTCCGCGCGTAGTGACATTCGCTTTGTGTGAATATCCTACTTTTTTCTCGCTTTTAATTCATTATATTTTGCCTAAGTGGCTTATACTCAAATTATAATTTTATTTGTAATATGTTTTTAAGCTCAAACTTTTAGGTATTTGGTATAAAGTATCGGTAACTAATGCAAATTGTCTTTTGATCAGGAGATGCCCGGGCATGGCGCATGCCGGGTGAAGTGCGAACCGTCGTCCGAAGACGAAGACAGCAATTCGCAGATCGGTCACAGCTATTTGTGTAACCAGGTACATAATTAAGATTTGCTTTGTATGCATAGGTCTTATTTTAAAGTTACAAGGTTTACTACGTATATACGTCAATAAATATATACGTACATATATGTCTTAGATCGGTATAATGATAATGTAAAGTTTGCGGGAATTTATGATTTCAAAGTATATAAAGTATGTAAATTTCAAAGTAACGTTAAAACACAGTCAAAGTAACGTTTTAAAAAATATTGTCTATGTATAATTTAATTTCCGATTTTGACTAGCTGGTTCGCTTGTGTCAAGGCAACAAAAAATTGTTTATTAAAAATTAAGTAAAAACCTTACTACAGCTGTCTACATCGGAGCTACGACCCGTGAAGTTAGAGCCGGATTCGGGAAGCGATGAGAGCGTACCCACTCTACTACACTTGCAGGTACCAAAAAAGTTAACTATTGAAGTTTTTATTGACTTAAAATCGTGAATACAGAGATGTACTTATTTTCATGAAGGGGCCCTAATAGTCTTAATCAACAAATAAACTAAAAAATAAAAAAAAATATGCCCGTAATGTAATGTACTAGATGTGGTTGGGTTTGAGAATTTATCTATCATACGAAAATTGAAATCGAAGATCCAACATAATTTCGAGTTTAAATCTAGCATGCGCTAGCTAGCTAACTCGAAATTATGTTTATTATTAAGTTTTATTTAGAAATAAATATTGCCTACGATGAATATTGTGATTGCAGGGCTCAGGATTGGAGGAGCTGGCACTACCGACGCCGGCGGGCCCAGCCGCCACACCGGTCTGCGTTAAGCAGGAGCTGCATAACGCGCACATCACTCCTGCTACCTCTCTGGAAACACTGGAGCCTACGCCTCTGAGTGCTGCTACGGTGGGTTTGAGAAAATATGCTAAGAGTGGTAGTATTTTAGTGTTATGGGTTGTAATAATCATAATAAAATAAAATAATAAGCAACATTTTGCATGCCTAGTCAGGTAAAACATGTGTTCTGTAATAATTGTTCCATCTTTCACACCATGTTTTAAGCAAATAAAATTTCATTTCATTCATTTCATTTCAATAAGCGAGGAAATAATGAATCCAGAATTAGTAGCACTGGTTTCCAAATCTATAGTTTTGTACATTAACTTATAGTAATCCCTTATAGGATGTATTTTGCATTCGAATATTGTTGCCGTAGAGTTGTAGTAAAACTTTTAGTAAATTGTGTTTTAGGGTTCGACGCTGATCGACCGGCACATTTCAATGCTGAGCGCGACCGAAATGCCCGACTCCTCAGAGTTCATGCCTCTGCTCAACGTTAAAGATGAACCACTTTCTGAAGGAGGTACGTTTTATGCCCACGAAAAGACGTAGCGTCGTCACTAATAAACTTAAACTTACTATCCTTTACTACGTAGTCTGTGAGGCTTGTTGCTCTTTTGAGTAAGGCTCGGTTGGTTTATAGAAGATAAATAATAGACTGCTAACCTGACCAATGTTATATGACTTATTTTTTTATTTCACGATACTTTTTGATTGTTTCACCAATCAATATGAATGACTTTATTCGTATTGTCCCCTCAAATTGTGAGAAATAGATCAGTTATTTGAAACTTTTGGTTGAGTAGCTACGAATATTTAGTAAGAACTGCCAAAGGTGGGGTAATGTCAAGTTTTTGCCCCGGCTTGGAAAAAATCAGATCCGGATCTGAGTTTGTTAGACGGGAAGTAAATATGCCTAAATAAGGTGATACGAACAGACAACAATAACATGAAATACCGTCAAATATTATTAACATTTAGCTATTTGGACTGTATTTGAGTAAGTGCAGTGACCCCTATTGGAAATATAAGGCGCCCATTGGTAAGCGCACTGTCATGCCGGGTCTACACGCTTTGTCAATCTTTCACAAACGCAGTTTTGTAAAAGAGGGAACAAGGGTAAAAATTGAAACAGAAAACTAATGTGTGACTATATCAAGGTATGTCCGTTATCGTTATAATCGTCGCTTTACATTCTCAAACTCGTATCCTAAAGCACAAAGTTACTAAAATGGAAAAAATGCGTTGTATATACAAATTTCGTGGGCTGATTTCGTGGGCTGATTTCACGTCACATTGCCTTCATATTCACACACTGGCTTTTTATTTATTCTTAAAGTAATGCGAAATACAAATTAACACCCTTGATAAGAAATTTAAAATATATAGAAAGTTTTGCCGTCTCCTGAATAACCACTCTTTATAAAATACTAGTTTGAGAAAGTAAGGCATCGATATGTATATTATTTCACGTCAATCTTTTTGTTTTATTTACTTACTAAGTAACAGAAGAAGAAAAGAATTTTCCTAATTTTTTTTTCATTCTTTATTTAATTGGTTGCACAAAAATATAGCGCCAGTAGAAATGAATATATTCCTTTTAGTTCCTCATTGTTTTGTTTCAAATTATACAAGTTGCAATTTTTGTTTACGTCGAGTAACTTGCAATGAATAATAAATTATGTAAACGCCTCGAATAATGTAAATTGCAGAGCAATACAACCTGAGCGGCGACGACACCAGCGACTCGTCCACGCAGCACGAGCCGATGGCGCGCGGAAGCCCCAAGAGCTGGACGCAGAAAGACATGGACAACGCGCTGGAGGCCTTGAGGAAGCACAACATGAGTCTCACGAAGGTATTCGTCTGCTACCCTTTGGGAGTTTCACGTAAAAAAGAAAAAGTACTTATAAGTGCTCAGCGGATCAGTCTACTTGATGAGCGTCTACTTGTCTAACGTTTACTTGTCTAACGTTTAGATAGTCTGAAACGATTGTTGCACTCGGTGCGAAAAGGGACTCGCCACACTTATTCACACGGGACCACCTCGAGCCGCCAGAAAAATCTTTATGTTCACGCAATAAGAGAGAAAAAGACATTGCGCGATTTGCTTCCGTTCGACCGCACAACGTCACTTAATGCGATGCCGTGTCGATAAGAGTGGCGACTCCTCGACCGGGCGCCCGGTAGTGGCGGTGGTGGAAATGTGAAGTGCGGCCCGCAGGCGTCGGCCGCGTACGGCATCCCGTCGACCACGCTGTGGCAGCGCGCGCACCGGCTGGGCATCGACACGCCCAAGAAGGAGGGCGCCGCCAAGTCCTGGAGCGACGCCGACCTGCGCCAGGCGCTGCACGCGCTGCGGGCGGGCGCCATCTCGGCCAACAAGGCCAGTAAAGCCTACGGTATGGCCCCGGATACCGAAAGCTCATTCTTTGCAATTTAAACCTACCAGCACTTGCACGATCGAACGAACCCCGAGGTGATTGCAGGCATCCCCAGCAGCACCCTGTACAAGATCGCGCGCCGCGAGGGCATCCGCCTGGCCGCGCCGTTCAACGCTGCGCCCACCGCCTGGCGCCGCTCCGACCTGGACAAGGCGCTGGCCTCCATCCGCTGCGGGGCCAGCTCGGTGCAGAGGGCCGCCACCCAGTTCGGGATCCCCACAGGTATTTTGCCAGCGCTCGCTTTGGCATTCCTTGTCAGCTTTCGTACGTCGTCTCGCAGTGGAGCACTATGGCAATGAGCGAGGTACAGATCTAAATTCTTTGAATCTCTCGTGTTTTAAGGGACGTTGTACGGCAGATGCAAGCGGGAAGGAATCGAGCTCTCCAGGTCCAATCCTACACCGTGGTCAGAAGACGCCATGGGAGAAGCCCTCGAGGCTGTCAGGTGATCCAAACCTAATCTGTGGATGTGGCTTTTTTATTTTGAGAATCTAAAGCCTTTTTATTAACAGTCTTAAAATTATTTATTTGCAGAGTCGGTCAGATGTCTATAAATCAAGCTGCGATCCACTATAACCTTCCCTACTCGTCCCTTTATGGTCGGTTCAAGCGTTGCAAATATCAAGGACAGGTAATATTCCATATTTCTTCACTTCAAGTTTTCAAAATCAGAAAGTAACTTCGTCTTGTTGCATGGTACTATATTCAATTCAAATTCAAATAATTTATTTCGGAATATTACATTCATAGTATTATTATACAAAATTCAAAGCGCACACATACATTACATTAGATAATTAATAAACTATAGCTTAATTGTTTTCATTTATCAAATTTCCGTTGTGACCCTGCATTTTTTTACATTCCAGCCTTTGCAAGCCATGCAACAAGACATGCAAACCTCTCAAGAAATGGAGCACCATCAAAACCAAGATTTAAATAGTTACTACCATCATATGCCGTCCCATACCATCCACCACCTTCCCAACGATCAAACCAATATCCCTCAGCCTTACATTTATACGGAACATGATACCACCATGCATGCTAATGTGCTGCAAGATCAGTATGATCATCAGCAGACAATGTATTACAACCAAAGTTGTAACAGTATAGTCAGTTGAGGGTATCATGCCTCACAGAATGAGGCTCCATGACAAAGTGTCTTTTAAATTAATTATTGTTATGCCAGAAATGATAATAAATACGGACTTATGGAAGAATTGCCTAAAATGGTTTGAACCAATATGTAACATTTTCATCTGTGAACTCATTATAGAATATCATGAAAGGCTACTAAGTATATTTTTTTAATTTTTTAATCATCGGAGTTCCAGTATTATTTTTACTTCAATGTAATTAGCTATTTCAAAGGTGTTTTGGCTCTACTTTGTTTTTTTGGCATGTTTGCGACTATAGTTAACAATTACTAGCTATCATAATATTTACCATATTGTATGACCAAATGACAAGCTAGAAACAAAAATATATATTTTTATGGACACCCTACTAAAAAATTTCAACGCTAAAAATATAAAAGGAATGCGAAATAAAAGTGCCAAAAATGGCGCTGTACAAGTAATTCTATTATAACTTATGTTAGAAGAAGAAGTTTTTATCGTAAGGCAATAAAATACGTACGTATTCTATCGTCCAAAGCTTTCGTAGTTACTACCAGGGGAAACTTTCCACCCTTCAGTTTATTTTTGCAGCTAAGGTATATTTGTCTAAAGTGCAATACCTATATGTATAGATCTTAACGAGTTTTAACGACGAAAAAATTGGGTTGAAATTAATTTCTCATAAATGTCAAATATAGAGTCATGAAGACAGTTGATGCTATTTTTATAAAAAAAGTTTTCGAGTACTCTCTTCTATACATTCTGGAAAAATTATGAAATAACCGATTTTTTGTCAATTTTTTAAAACGTGTAAAATCATTAGATGTATAATATGATGATGATAAAGTTTTTGTCGCAATGAAGCAATACTTAGGTTAAGGTTGAATAAGGAAATTCCGCGAAAGTATTTTTTTATTTTAATTTTAAATTATTGCTAAGCATTTACTATGAAAATTAATGAACGCTGTCCTTTATGTTCTGTTCGTTTATTAACAGAAACGAACAATAGATGTCGCCTCTAACAATACGATCCCACGTATAAGCTTAATGCGGCCCTGTTATTTTTTATTTGTCGCAGCCAAATTGTATACCACATTGCATTATATAATGCAGGTCGCATTACAAAGGGACTTTTTTTTGTAAAACGGCTAAGTTTACTTACAGCCAGAATGTCGTTTGGGTCTAAGGTTTAGCCACGTCGTAAACATGGCACCTACCGTCACTTTACATCACTGTACAGTGATAGTGTAAAATATCGTCAGTGGTTTGTAGAAAACATAAAAACACTATATTATATACATACATGTTTCTAACAACTTGTGTTATCTAATTTGTGCCATCTATTTTGTTTTAGATATCAATTTGTGCAAAAATCTTTTCGATACTCCCGGTCCGGTTCCGGAGGCCCGGGTTTTATCCTGGCACTTTGTTGACGTCGAGTTTTAATCGGTTTAAAACCCATTAACGCCCGAAATCGAGGACAAAAACTATTTACAACTAAATATTTTCAAATTGAATTTTGTTCAAATATGTACTGATGATGTTATTACAAAATGTTTGTTGCTTGCACATATTTTGCCTTTCTGTTGAATTGATTCGCTTGAAAGCGCAAAAACTCGTTACCGTACGCACTTGAATCGATTTTGCATGCCTAGTAGTAAGTGAGATTCGACCGTATAGTGTGGAGTTGCCTCTTTTTCGAATAAACCAGATTTTCTGCATCGAAATTTCTAATTAGTACGGAATAATACCAAGTTTCATGTTATTTTGCACGTGTAATGTTTTTGGACAGAAATAGTTAAAACCTTTGGGTAAAAACCCGGTTAAAACTCGCGCCGGTTGATTGAGTTTTAACCCACTGCCCATCTCTGCATGAATGTAAAGCTATTTCTAAACGGCTTGAATGTGTGCTTGTTAAGTGTGGTGATTTCGTATATCGTAGAAACACAAATGCATTAGTAAGGAGGAAGCAAAGCCCTTTGTGCGAATAGGTTCAACATAAGGATGATGACATTGTTTTTTTCGCTCTAATTACTTAAACATAAAGTTTTTTTATAGTTCAAACCGATTCGGCGTTGACAGGTTGGTGACTCCCAAATCAGCCTTCATCAGCCGCACTGCAGAACACGAACCAGTATTACAGCTTTGCTTCGTCTTAATACCCTCTGGCTGAATGTGTTAGCTGTATTACAACATAGCGCTGTTTTGTAAAATTGCTAGACATTTTATAATTCAGTGTGTTATATAAATCGACTGCGATATACGCTTATTCAAGTTTATGAATAAAAGGGTTAGTGATTGCATACTATATTTGTCCAATAATCTAGAATATAAGCTAATATTTTAGAATCATAAGTAGTTGACTGCTAGTTAATTAAACGGCCTTTGATTGAATAACTTAATTAAAATCGATTTAGTAATTTCGAATAGCAATGAAGGATTCTGTCCAGTAAACGACATACGTAATAATATTGTGATAGAAATAATTATTAGTAACTTGTATTGTGGTTTGATTCGGATATTGTTCTCATTTTTATCCTTAGGTTGTAGTCGAAGCATGTTTGTATTCTTTTCAGTGAGACTGTTCTATTTATTTTTATCGGTATACTACATTCGTATGTCGAAGAGAAGAGCCGGCCAAATTCTTTAGAGCTGTACCTAAAATAATGATGTTAATTTTTCACATTGTTACTGTTCTACTCATATAAGGCTCAATTTCTATTGCGGCGGAACGAAGCGCATTCCGCTGAAGATTTTGGCTCGTATCTACTTTGTACGTTAGACAATTGACCATAAAGTGCATTATGCAATGTATAATATCGTTACAAAAATTTGTTTCTTTTCCGTTCCGCCACAATATAAAGTAAGCCTTAAGGCGTCGTGTAAGGAAGTCATTATACTCATATATATTGGCGATGAATTGTGTTAAGCCGGTCAGTAAATTCTTTAGCGAAGAAAACGCAGTTAACGACGGCCGACATGACTCAACTCGTGTTAAACGTACGTCTTATTGCATGGACATAAAGCTTTTCGTGACCGGCTCAAGCCAATTCCGTGCCCATTAGTGTGGTATTGCCATAAGTCTTGTAAAGCCACTTTACAACGTGGTATTGCCAACTTAGTAGTAGTTTTGTTATTAAATATGGGGAAATAATTACTAGTAAGTATAGTTTTTTTTAATCCGTTATTGTCAAGGCGAGTAAAATAAATTCTTGTTGATAGGATTTTTGTGTTATGAAGTTTCGGGGGTATTTTAAAGTGGTAACATTGCTATATAGCGCTTACGTAGCTGAGACGCTACACAAGGCCTGAGCTTAAAAGTTGGCAGTGCCCGGTTTTAGGGATAGCACCAATTCCAGCCAGTCGGACTTACATCTGTCAAGGTCGTAATGTTATTTATATTAATTACTTTACGTATTACCTACTACCGGGTACACATTTCCTCAAAACTAAGACTCAATTTACATTACCGTACAATGGAAGCTTATTTTTTTTTTACATACATAGCAAAATGAATTTATGACAATTGTGTTAACGTACAAGCTAGATACGAGACGGTAGGTGCAGAAAATTCTCGGAACTGCGCCCAAATTCTCCGCAAGGCGCGCGATCAATATTTTGGTTCGTATCCATTTAATTTGTAATTACACAATGTACCATTAAGTTCATTATGCTGTGTACACTTTCTGCGTTTGTGGTAAGTAGAGGCAGTAGGTAGAATATTTTTTTAAAATATTCTCTTAACTTTCACGTTACTAAGTTATTAAGGGCATAGCCCTTTTATTCTATTTATATAAAGAACCGTGTACAGGTAATCTCTGCAAATGAAACTGGTGATGTTCAAATTAGCAATAACTTTATTGTAACTAGTGCTTCTTAATAAAATTGATAGACTGGGAGTATTCTTTATTTCTTAATTGTAATCTATTATCTTTTTAGACTTTCATTTTCTTATGTTTTCATTTCGGGAATTGCGAAAATGGGAATACAAAATTATTGTACATAAAAATTCGCTTTATTTATTATCTACAGTTATTAGATATAAAATAAATTACATAATGATTTCCATGCGGCCGGCTGCAGCGTCCACCAAAACACGAAACTCTGCTTATAATTATAGTATACATTACATAATTGCACACAAGATTCATATTCCAAAAGTTTATTTGATCAAAACAGAATCAATTTAGAAAATATGCGGAGACAAGTAATAAAGTCAAGAAATAGTAAATAATAGTAATACTATTCTATCACAGATGGCGCTTGTCAAGTATTTCGATTACTCGACAACAGATGGCGTGTACAGATGTAGAAATGATACAGAGCCATCTATGATATAATCTTAGTACTAAAACAGAAACAACATCGCTGAAATATAAAATTAAAAAGAGAAACAAATTCTATAAACGCCGGGGTTAACATAATTAATAAATAACGTAGCGTAAAAAATAAATCTAACAATAATATGAGAAGGTAATTTGTAAATAAATGCAAAAGTAAATAGTACAGGGCAGTCTATAAAATTTGTTATACTACTAAAAGTTGTTTTTGTTCCAATCTACATCAGTAAACTGTATTATTGGTAAAACTACTTACAAGAAATAAAGAGAATATGGCATGGCAGTGTTTAACAAGAAAACCAATAATGCAATTTGCTAATGTCGATGTTTAGAGTGGTCATTAAAATATTAATCATGTTACAATTTGCTCCACTACATAAATTATTAATTTGTACAATAATAATATCCCATCGTTTTTGTTGCGGTGACAACATTTTACATAAATGTGCGGATGGTACGCTGCGGCCGCCATTTTGCTTACGACTATTTACGTATATGTATGTGTGCGTCGCGCGTCCGTTATACGCTAGGACTAGAGAAACGCGCGGCACCGCATTCACTCTCCCACACAAGTATTCCCACATTCACTTCACAATGGTCAAGTCCGAGTTCGCAGCATTTATCACAAATTAAAAACGTGACCTCAAAAACGACAGTCTCCACGAGTTCAACGAAGTCGACACGGGTTCGGGAACACGCGCACCGAGTGCGTCGCAGGAACGACGACTACGAACGGCACACGCACTCGAGTCGGCAGAGGGGGCCGGGGACCGGCCGCGCGGTTCGAAACAGCGGTCGGTAATGAGATTACAGGCTCCCTTCCGGAACGGGTCGGGGCGGTCAGTTCGCGGAGTCCTCAAAGAGCGTCTCCAGGGCCGCTCCATCGCGCAGCGGGAACTAGGCGGAATTAAACGGGCCCGTAGTCGGAGAGCGGCTGGCCGGAGCGGGCCGAGGGCGCGGAGGGCG